CCAAGCAGAGAATCAGATGCCAGATCAGATGAAGTGGGCAACCAACAGAAAGAATAACCAGCAGGTTAAAATTAAGAGAGCGGAAGCCCATACTAAGCTGGTATGTGGCTCTCTAGAGCAGGGGGTTTTCAACCTTTTTTAATAAGTGTACCCCAGGTAGCCGGACAGAGCAGGAGTGGGGCTGGCGCATGGCTAGATGTGGAGTGGTGGTAGCATAGGGTGGTGGGTGTCGGCGGTGGCCCCCGCATGCAAGCTTCCCGCCCTCCCCCGTGTCCAGCCAGCCAGGTGGTGCCTGTGCAGCCCGCAGAGGGGAGCCGCTGCCTTTGGTGCCCCCCGGCCCTGCTCCTGGGAGGCGGCAGCGCAGGACGGGCAGCGCTCCATCCCTGCCTGCCTGTACGTACCCCCTAGGGCCTTCCCAAGTACCCCCGGAGGTATGCGTACCCCTGGTTGACAACCCTTGCTCTAGAGTAATATCTGTGAGGCATGGGCATGGCTGCAGGGTCAGAAGGAGTCCAGAAATAGCCCTTAAGGTAACTGGTGCCCTGGGGCACTGAAGAGTCTCTACTGAGGGCACTGAAGAACAGGACAGGGGGCCAGTTGGGTACAGGCAGGAATTACTAGCCAAGGCATGCTAAGGCTTGCTCAGGGACCCTGGGGCAGTCTCCCTTCTACAACAGAAAATAATTCTATCAAGGCATGACAGGCGACAGGAAAAGAAAGAGTACCCTGGGGAGCCAAGTGGAGCAGGAGCTGCACAGACATCAGGGGGCACCACCACCCGTGGGGCACAGTTCTGTCCCATAAACCTATTTTGCTAACTGTCCATACTTCAAATGAATTATTATGCCATTAAAACTGAGCATATGGGTCACAAATGCTGTAGCTGCCTCAAGCTGAAATGCAGTCTAACTCAAAATTAATACAAAAATAAGAAAACAGAAGAATCCAATTTTGAAAGATTAAAATTCTGGCTTCACTGTACAAGATTCTTGTGTATACAACAAATATGAGGTCCAGCTTCTCATCCACCATGACACTGCAGAAAGCACTGCTCAGATTTCTAGCAGGAACAAGAGTGCCTTCTGTAGCTACTAAGTATGCCACTGACATTATAACATTTCTTTTTATGTTGCCTAGAATGTTTTCAAACATATTTTCTCTTGGGTTGAAACTTCCCAGATTTGTGTCCAGGCCAGAAGCCAAACTCATTGGAACATTTCATCAAAAACTGCTCAACTGGGTTGTTTGTTTTGTTTGCTTTTACATTCACATGGTTCTTCATTTTAACCCAGTTTTGAACAAAACTGATCCCATAGTTGCACACAGTTCCAGAACCAACCCCCCCACAACTTACTTTCAACAGAATATATTGGAAGTGTGTGTGCATGCACGCATGCGCGTGTGTGTGTGTGTGTGTGTGTGTGTGTGTGTGTGTGTGTGTGTGTGTGTTTTCGGAACTTCAGTGAAATCTATAAAATAAGCTAGATCTGAAGGTGGAACCTGCTATACTGCAACTTACTGCACAAAACTCAGTGTAAGAAATCGGAGTTTACAGCTGTCACCCTAAACTGAGATCAGCTAATGTTAAAGTGTTCAGCTAATGTTCCCCTTGAAGTCAAAGAAAACTCCAGACTAGGTGTCTTGACCTTGGATCAAAGCCCATACCGTGAAAAAGTCAGTTAATACAACACGTATTGTAATACAAGGTGAGAGGATATTTTAAGGCAGAGAGAAAACGAAGTTTCTACTATTTGCTATCAATTTCCTACCTTTTAAGCATTTCACATTTCAAGGATAACATTGCATTAATCTAGTTTTATATACACACAACATCTACAATAGAGCACAAACATATAATACAGCGCTAAACCCCATTTGAATTTCTTGAAAGCCACAAAGTCCATCAATCTTTTCAAATTTGCTAAAGTTATTTTTTTATTAAAAATACAAAGAAAAGTGGAAGGAAGGAATGTTTGTAACACCTCCTCCCTACACTCACCAAAGCTTTTTTAGAAGAAAGTCAAGGATGAAACTATTTCTTTTACCAAAAGCCTGTTTAACACTAAAGAAGATTAAGCTTTCCTCCTTATCTATTTAGGACCTTTGCTTGTGCAGGGGCCAGACCTTCCTCAATTATTGGAATACCCAGCATATTTCTGTGTACTAGAACAAGAACCGAGGAAAATACTCAAGTAATGCAGCAAACTTGAAAACACTGAAATTCAAGACAGCTCCCATGATCTTCCTCAGCTTTCTATTATCAAAATAAACCTTCAACATGCATCACTTACTAACAAAAGAGCCTGAATACAACAAGTGCTGAGATAAACTGCAGGGCAATTGTGAAGATCAACATTTGGAGCATGCTCAATGGACCCAGGGAATATTAGGCAAATACCCAGAGTTACATGAACTGCTTTCTGCATTTCATGCAATAATGTTATCAAGCATAGTTCAGCGAATACTGTGATAATGGTGGCCAGAGAGGTGGCGATCAAAGACAGTAGAATGGGGCACTTTCTAAACTGGTATCTGCATGGAGATGGTGTTTTAAGAAAGAGTTTTAAAGGTAAGGTGACCATACATCCCGGTTTGGCCAGGACACTCCAGGACTCCATAGACCAGTCCCAGTCAAAAGGCCCAGGCCAGAGTCCAGCAGGAAGGTGGAATGGCATGGTGCACCAGGCAGGCATGCGGGCAGGCACTGCAAGGACATGCCACGTGCGGGCGGAGTGACTCCTACTCCAGTCCACCCGCCCTCCCGCCTTGCTCCCACACAGGATCAGCATCACCTGCCTGGACTCCTACCTGGCATGCCATGCTGCTCCACCTCTCTGCCAGACTCTGACCTGGGACTTTTGACCAACAAGCTGGGATCAGGCTATGGAATCCTGGAGGGTCCTGGCCAAACTGGTATGTATGGCCACCCTATCTAAAAATTCCTGAGGAAGAAAAGGAAATTATGTGAATCACTCTGGAGTTTGCACCAGGAAAGGTGCAGAAAGAATGATGGGAAAATGCAAGAAAGGTGTGATCTATGCATGGGAAGCAAGAGATTTTCCTAGTGGGAGAACATTTGGAGACAGCAGACTACATCCCCCAGGCCACTTACAAACTAGCAAGGCCTGTGCTGTGGTCTGCAGCTCCAAAAGCCAATAAGCAGCAGGAGCAGTGCTGAGATTGTTTGCAGTGTCCCTTGTAGACATTAACTCTTCTCAGGCAGTTGGACATAAAGGGGACTGGAGGAGAAGAGAGCGTGAAATGGGAGAGAGTGAAGGAGGCAATGGAGAAAGAGAAAAAAAGGAACAGTGAAGCAGAGAGAAGAGGTAAAATGAAGTCATGGGTTCAAGAATGGCCAGGAAAGGTTTTAGGACCACAGGGGAAGCAAGAGGGAGCCAGGTGACAGAGGGTGATGAGTGGTGGAGAGAATGAAGGGAACCACAGACAACAGTCTGAGGAGTACAGTGGCAGACAGATTGAGAGAAAAATAACAAAAGGGGAGGAAAATAACAGGAAAGCATCTTTACATGTATGATTTATTCCTGCCCATTTCATTGTATGAACAATTGTTTGTGGGGAGGGAGGAGGGAGCAGGATTGTCAGCTCATCTGAACTGGAACAGGGTATAGTTCGTGTTCAGTTGCACCACAATTGCTGAAGTAATGTGCAGCTGTAACTGGTTTTTCTCATTGTGTGTTTCTGGTGGGGTTGGCATTCATTTCCCAACCACAGTCTTGATGATCCAGAATGTTAACCCATCAGGGAATCATTTGACAGGACATGAATTTACAGAATCGTGCTGGCCTCTAGTTTACACTGGTGAGGCTGAACAGAGTCAAAGCCTGTAGGTGTCACAAGCAACCATGACCTGATCCAAACAACCTATGTCTGATTAACCCTTCTCTGTGATGGAGAGCTGGGCACAGTGGTGTGCAGTGTAAATGGAAGGCATGTGTAAAACTTTAATGCATGCCTGAACAGATACCATCAGTTACCTTCCATTCCTCCTCACTGGTGAGATGGCTCCTTGTTATGCTAAGCTGATAGCTTGTAACTAGAGCTAAGCTGCCTGTGCCAGGATTTCTCATTATAATGAATACAACTGCTTTTACAGTGTATCAAGTAAATATTTCCCTTTCCTAATCTAGATCCTCCCCTATTGCTAAAGCAACAACCACTGCTGAGATGAAGGCATCATGTGCATCTCAGAGTACGGTTTTAGTTCTACTTCCCTCTTCAGTGACCATAATGGATCACAAACAGTGCTGTCAGAGGTCTGAGTTTGGGAGTCCTGGGTATTATCTCTGACTGGTGCACTAATTTATAGTGTGCCATGGGGCTTGTCACCTCCCCTCACTGTGTCTTTGTTCCCCTTCAGACTGTTCCTTAGGTTAGTGTGTAGCACATGCTGCAATGGACCCTTCTGAAAACCTTGCAGTACACTGGAATCCAAATGAATAACTGAGCTAGATACTTCATTGGCCATGAGCTCTTCCAAACTAAGCCAGCAAAAGACACTAACATTTAAAAGCACCTTCAGCAAATCTCTCTTGCTGGAGGTAATTCTCATTTATTTTTAACATGAATGAATGCCTTGTATCAAGGACCACATTACAAATGGTTTCTTGCTATAGGAATCCCAGTACAATATACTGGAAAAACATTTCTGGTACAAAGAACCAGTGGAGAGAAAGATCCCCATCCCTATGGACAGAGGTAAAAGTAGAGTTTTCCCCAATATGACCAAGTCTGTGCTAGTGTCTTCTTATACTATAGTGATGTCAGTTAGGGACCATGGTGTTTGAATCAATGACTGACATAGTTGTACTGGTGGATATCTGCAGTGGGAACACCAACAAAATGAGGAGGGCATGTAGCACCTTTAAAGAGTCTGATCCTTCCTTGTGTGGGTTCATTGCAGGGTTTGAGGCCTTAGTGTGAAGAATTTTAAAACCTGCAGGTAGAATGAAATCAAATCCGGGAACTTCCCTGGCACATACCGGCTCCAAAAGCAAAGAAGAAACTTTTGTCAGGGTACTCCTCCAGCAGGTCCTTCACCCTCTTCCCCATCCGCTCATTCCGCTTGTAGATGAGCTCCTGGCGGAAGTAATCATCTATCTCTTGGGCAGTAATGCGCTCATGAGGAGGCAGCGTGGCGTTAATGAAATTGGGGACCTAGTCAAGAAAGAAAAAGTTTTGAAGGAAGCAATTTTATGCATATTTAAGTGAGACTGAGACTCTAAAGCCCAGCCATTGAAATTCTATTCATGTGCATGGGACTTTTGACAGCCCAACCAACTAACTTTGTTTCAATGCAGTGAAAACAACTGCTGTTGCACAACAGCTCTTGAACTTGCATGTATGGAAAAAGAGAATCCAGGGACAGTGGCAGAGCAGTTAAAGATTCATGAGTGCAAGTCATCACTCTGGAGGTATGCCAAAGGCTGTCCCCAATTGACCTAGCTGTAAATGGGAATTTGGCCATTCAGGGGTTGGGGAGTTAAAGGTAGGCAGATGCAATGCTTTGATGTGTGTCACTGGCTACCGAAATGGGAATGTCTTAGGGTGCTTACACAAGTGACATTTTTCATGCAATTGGGCCCTTGAAAGTGCTCTACAGCTGTGACTTAATACACACGCACAGCTGCAGAGCACTTTTTAAATGGCCAATGGCACGAAAAATTAACCCTAGTCAAATTAAGTATTAGATTAAGGTGCTCTAAAGCAGAGTGACTTGGGGTATTTATGTTCCTTCCAGGGTTAATTTTTCATGCATGGGGGAGGAGAGGAGGCAGGGGACTGCTGTCAGCTCCTTTTGAATGGCCAGAGCTGAGGAGGGGGCGGGGTGAAACAGAGCTCCCTTGCCTTGCAGGCCCAGCCTGGCTCCCCGCAATATCCCAGCCAGGGTAGCTGGGGGGAGGGGGCTCCATTCCATCCCACCCCCTCCTCAGCTCTGGACATTCAAAGTAGCCTGCAGGCATGGGCGACTGGTGCCTCCCGAGGGGGCGGAGGTCCCCCAATGGCTAATTGCCAATGGGAGGGGAGAGTCCCAGCAGCTGATTGCCAACCAGGGGTCCCCCAGCAGCTGATCGCTGAGACAGCAGTGAAACCGGAAGTGCACTTCCATTCGCAACTGGTGCTTCCAGGGGGTGCATGGCCAATCGCAGGGGGTGCATCGCCAATGCCTGCAGGTCTGTGCTGCCGTGTTTTATGTAAAGCATCATGAATCAGAGCAGGGCCCTGAATATTTGTAGGCATCCCTAACCATTCTTGCTTGATGAGCCATTAGGCCTGAGCACACCTTTGACTTGATCTTTGGCTATGTACTTTCTGCTGAAACTACCCTGGGTATTGCAAGGTTAAAATCATTCTGACAATGTTTCATGAGATGTTTGACTGCAGTTCAAAACACCCCTCTGGCTGATACAGAAGACTAATCCTGCTATTTCAGGTGGTCAAATATATTCCAACATTTTTCCAAAACAAAATACACACAATTATTTTGTGAAAAAATAAAAATGTACCTGCCTTTCAACCAGCTTGACATGCAACATTTTTCACCCCCTGTTCTTATGACTTCAGAATGGTCTTTTAAAACTTTGGGCCCCAACCTTCTCCCTTCACTATGGCCAAAAGCCACCTGTAATTACTTGTTTCAATCCACATACTCTCATAACCCTTTGCTAACACAAAGGAATGTCGGACTGGAGTCATGGCAACCCCATTCCTCCACACCCCCGCAAATCTGGATGCAGGTACTAACACTGATGGGACAGTTAAAAGATGTCAGGACTGCCTGAGTCTAGAAGGGTGGAACTGGGAGCCAGAGGGCAAAAGCTATAATTGGGGCATCTCTGTTCACCTATCACAGTGCCCTGTTTCAGAACCCCAGGAGCGGAAGAGCACGCTGGAGCCACTTGCGGCCACATTCATACGATAAACTGGCCATGCTCCAAAAAAAAAAAAAAAAAGCCTGAAGCATGTTACACTGCTCTGGGAGGCTGCTTCCTATACTGGAAACAGGATAGCCATACTTGGGGTGAGCTAACTACAGAGTGACAAAGCCAGTTGACTTGCTCCCATATTCATTAGCCTAAAGTGATGTTGCCACACTGCTTCCAAGTTTATGAAACAGCTTGTCCAAAACAGCATAGCCTGCTTAAAGATGCCACCCTGGAGCATGTTAAGTTTTCTGCCTAGACACAGTTTGAGGGTCGTGAGAGCATGGAGAGAAGAGGACCTACAGCAAAGAGAGGAAGAAGGACAGAACACTGGCTTGCTCCTAGTGACACCAATGGGGTCTCAAGACCCACACAACTTGGCATTTTACTTTGTTGGTTACAAGCAACAGGGGGGGGTGGCTAGTGGCCAGGTTCTCAGTGACATCCAACAAGCTGAGAAGCCCAGCCTTAAAGCCTTAAGATGTTATTGTCGCAGGAGTGTCATTATTTGAGCTAGCTGTCATATTTACCCTGACACTAATGGAGACTATTACATGGGGGAGAAATGAGACTGACATAGGTACAAGGCATCTTGCCATGCAAAAACATGATGCTTTATCAATAGGGCAATTTTCTTCTTGGGATTACAAGCAAGATCAGGTTTCTATATCATATAACTTATATGATGGGGATCATAATCATGACCTCTCTTGTGAAGCACTTTAAGATATAGGGATAAAAAGCACTAAGCACTGTTCCTTAACATAATCACTGCTGCCATCTCTCTCCCTGGCTACTTCTATATGCAATGCAAGGCTGTGCTGAGAGGCACAGTGTCACGAACAGACAAGGAGGAGCAAGCGCAAAGCAGACAGCCAGTCAAGCAGGGCTAAAGCAACAGTTTTTTCAGCCCCACAGTGCACCTTAGTTAACAACATGCTCTACCCTAGAGAGGAATGTCCAGATTGGTGAGCAATACGTTGCTTCAGTGAGCTCTGGCTTAGATCTGTGAGACTAACACTCATCTTTGCTGATGTATATGAATCACTGGGCAGAACCTCCCATACACTGAGGTATAGTCAGAGGCCTGCTGTCCTGATACCTTAAATCTTCTCTTAGTTTTAAACCAATTCACCTATTTATGCCTTCTCAATATTAGAAAGCTGTAACACCTTAGCTACACCAGTATATTACAGCAGTTCAAACTTCCTAACATGCCTACAGGTTCTGTAGGTATAAAGACACATTTTATTCCTGTGTTGCTGTTACCAAATGAGAAGGGGAATAGCTATTGTGATATAACCGAGTACAGTATATACTGGTATAACTAAGGTTTGTACTATGAACCATAACCCATAATAGAAATGGTTATGCCAGTACAAGAATGTTTTAGGCCTGGCCATAAGCTCTCCTAATTTCCTAATTATTCTCCCTTCCTCTGTCCTGATATACTCCAAATATAATTCAGGCTGGTTTTAGGCTGTCACCTTTCCTCTCTTGAGACTCCTGCAAAATAATCTGCCTATGAACAAGAAAGCAAAGCGTGCCCTGTCCTGAGCCTAGGGGCTGATGCAAACAAAATCGTAAGGAGAGTCTGCACTGCTGTGGCACAGAGGATATGAATATCAAGTAGCAAGTCCATAAATTACAACTTGTAGGCAAGCAACTGCTACCCCCACTTCAGCAATGAAGAAAATTAAAAAGTTTGTAAACAATTTGACCACTAGTACACAGGTGTCAAAGACAGGGTCACACATGTCACTGTATACACAAAACAGCCTGTATCTGCTCTTCATTGGCACTAAACTACCTTATCCCTAAAACAGCCTAATTCCAGAGGGTCCCTAAGAAAACAAAGAAATAACTTTCAGTACTTTACTCTCAAAACAAATACACTTTGTCTAAAAGGGAAAGCCAGTATCTACATATGGTACGTTGGGGTATGGCAGCTGGAACTTAATGTGGATACAGGTATAGAAAAGCAGCCCCTTTAGTCAGCTAATTCAAAATCTTGGCCAAAGTGTGCAGATGGCTTATTTAAAGAAAGGGAGTTTGAGCTACGAATCAGAGCAGCAGACTGTATATGAAATAACACAGGTTCTGGTCCCAGTAAGTGTAAAAGAGATCAGCAATCAGCCTAGGCTCTGCCTGAGGTGGGCTGCTGAATTGCCCAGTGAGGTATGTGCTGTGCCAAGATACTCCAGTGATGTTTCTCTAGATCTGCAGTGGGATTATCAAAAACAACAATTTGGTCGGTGATCTTGTGCAAGTTGTATGCGACCTGAATTTCCCAGGTGCTGGGGGCCACCACTGCCCTTTGAGTCAATAAGAGCTTTGATGTGCTACCTGTTAACTCTCCCTGTCTCACCTTCCCATCTGCGTGACATTGTACCCACATAGAGTTAAAAACCCTCACAACCAGATTATCTTCTCCTTGGCAATTGGTATACCAGCAGGATGGAAAGGACAAGCGAATGCTGGGCTGAAGGGGGCACAATGCCAAGAGATAAATAACTACAGTGAAATTAAGTGGCAGTTGAGCAGCAATGGTGGATTCCACAGGGACCAAGCTCTGGAGGTATAAAACAGACACAACACACAGACACAGACTGGGAGGTCTACCCAAACCACAGAACCGGGATGTGGAAGCTAGTCTTCACACAGGCCTCTTGCCATCATAGCAGTCACTCTCAGAGCACCGTCTATCCCAGCAAAAGCCCATGTTAACCCCTTGCATACCAGAATTCCCAATGTTGCTGCACTCTGTCACTGCAATATTAACTAGCATATGCTCAGACTGGCTTTACTCTTTGGGAAAACATTTAACTTTTTTCATATGGAACTGAAGAAAAGGTTAAAACTAAAAGGCACCAACCCCCCAAAATCCACATCAGGGAACTAGGAGGCAGGCAAAATAGTCTGAAACAAAAAATCAGGCTTCTTGCTGGCAAAATGTAAAGCGATTCCACTTTTGGATAACAGTACTTGAGGCCTCGCAGGAGCTAAAGCAACTCTGTCCTTTGATGGACACTAACCTAATGGGGAGGGAGAAGTTTAAATGAGGGCATTCCCTGGGTAAAGTGCAAGGGATGGCAGTGGCAAGACTCACTTGAGAAGTGTCATGGCTGAAGATGATGGAGTTGAGGTCCCCACAGTTGTAATGCTTGATAAGGTCCTCTGTCGTATAGGGGATCTGGAGACTGCCTGCTCGAAGGCTCTCCTGCTGCAAGAGAGTCTGATTCAAAGCAAAGATCACCTGAGGGAGCAGGGGAAGGGAAGGAGAGAAGGAGGAAAAGACAGAGTTCCTTATGAGTTCCTTCACTCTCTGGTTGAAAAGATACATATGCACAAGACTCTTCATTCTGCTCCCATTCCTTGCTGCTGCAATAATCCATACACTTCATTAACCCAACCCTAAAGCTACTAAAACATCAGAAATGATGGGATCCCTGGTACACATAGCACCTACACATAGACTAGCTAGCTGTGGAAATGTATCTAATTTCACATGTCACTCCTTAGAATCAACCCTTTACACTGGCACCCTGGCTGTCTCACCTCGCATTCCAGCTAAAAGGTGACAGGCAGCCCAGTGCTACAGCAAAACCATGACTTCACTGAGTCCCTGAGGTTCTCACCCATCCTAACCCTAAGAGTTAAGAGATATTTGGAATGTCCTCTTTCCACTAGGCAACAGCCATATAGTAAATTAATAAATTTGAAGATGGAGATATTTACTGGAAAGCAACTGGGAAGCCAAATGTTTTGGATTTTGTTATCTACCTGGGACAAAGTTTCAGCCCAGATACTGTATCTGACAATCAAGTTACTGCTAATACTCTAACATATGCTCCCCTCTTCATTTCTCTCTCTTTCTCTCATAAATCCCTGCATTCAGATGAGCTACTGCCCTCAAATCTCCCTATCCACATGCTCACAACAAACATGCCTGCTCAAGTCTGATCTTCCCTTCTGCCAGCTTCTACCATTTAACCCCAGCTTTTCCTCCTCCTTCTGGAGGGAGGATTTGCCTCTTCCCTGTTCCCTATCATTTTTTCCAAAGAATATTGAATATCTTGGGTTCAGTGATGAAGGCTGATGTCATTAAGCCAAAGATGCCATGTTTGTTGTGGGCTTCCTAAGACAGTGTTCTGGGGGTGGCATCCCAGGTGAGTAAATGGAAAAATCAGTGTACAGCTATTCAAAATAATCAGAGCCTCTCCCCAGTGCTCACCTTCAGTAAGCCAGCAGGAGGACTGGCTGCTGGCTATGATAGCTGCCTCCTAATGCTCATTGGGTGTTGACATCTGGGCACAGTGAAAGGAGAACTACCCCTGCCCCTGCCTTTGGCCCACACCCTTACTTATGGTTCACAGAGGCCTATTCCAACCCAACAGTTGGAATAGTCTCTGCATCCCCTAACTTAAGTTGTGGAGACAAAAGATCTGTATAGCAGAACTCTCCAACCTTCACCCACTGCTCAGGCTTTCCAGACCTATCCTTTCCTCTTTGTATAACAAAACAACATTGGCCTCCAGGTCCCTTCAAGATCTGGCACAGAGGACTGGCATTCTGGCTGTCTCTTGCATGGCTGCTATAGGGGGAGCGACTTCTAGGCTACTCACATGTCTGTGAAAAGGTAACCTCAATCTGACCCATGAACATGAAAGGCCCATAGAGTAGTTTTGGGCAACTGCTCTTCTGGCACTCAAGTGTTCTCTATAGGAAAGGAGGGGTACTAGAATTGCATGTGCTTCACTTACATCCTATTGGAAACTCCTACTCAATGCCATAACCTCAATGGGATTTAATTATATTCTTAAGAGGCATCCTGAATAGGGATGTTTTGCTGAACTGGGTCTTAAAGAGCATATAGGGTGCTTATACAGGAGCCAGGAAGCTGCTCTGATGATTAATTGAATCTGCTGGAGTGTGGAAATTACCATGCTCTAGCCAGCTTCCACATCTCATATATCAGTGTCCCCACGCTTCAAAATGGCGGTGGGGGAGCTTTAACTAAAGCTCATTTAACAAGCTTTAGATAAAGTGCTCCAGCTGCCCTTTTGAAGTGCAAGGACGCTGATACACGAGATGCTCCAGGCACTTTAATTAAAGCAGCTTGCGGAGCTGCTTTAATTAAAGTGTCCCCCTACCCCTGGAGTATGTGTAAAAACACCCATAATGCCTGTACTCAGTAGTCTGCATTTGCTGCACTGAGTTTCTGGGTGGAATTTTAGATGCTGCTTTTGATCCAGTTGGCATCAGGTTATCTAAAAGACACTTTAGTTAAGCCAGACAGACTTATCAGTTCTGAACAGAGCACAGGATAAGTTTTAAATTTACCATAAACAAGGCAAAATAAACTCTGGCCTAAGCTTCCTTTTAAGTTTGGCTATTCCATGAGATTCCTCTGCCAGGTCTTTAACCCAGTTCCTCTGCCTCAGAGATGCACTCAAGCCCTAGACCCAATCATTGTGACCTGAGGAATCAAGAAAAAAGCTCTGTATCCCTGTGCTGGATCCTAGAATCTGAGAGCCTTTTAACTCCCTTTTCTCACAGTTAGCAGAGGTGCTCAGGCTAACACACCCCTCACTGAAAGACAGCGGCTCTGGCTACAGGATATTTCCTCATGAGGTATCTTCAATTCCAAATGGATATGTGGAATGTGAGCAGCTAGAAACTGTTAGCCTTTAGGGACATGCTGCAAAGCTCACCTCTCTCTTGATGTTGAGGAAGCAGTGGGCGCGTCTATACCTGTGCATTTACTGCACAGAAACCAAAATTACTGTGCAGTGTGGATGTGTGTCTACATGTGCACACCTGTACTGCACAGTAAATATGGCAACTTACACCATTTTTACCTTAAATTTGATACCTGCATCATGCAGGTATCAAATTTATGCCCAATTAGTTACTGTGCAGTAACGCACATGTAGACACCTTATTGCACAGTAACACTGTGTGTGGACTGACTTGGGACTAACTTTGGTCCCAAGTCAGTCCACACACAGCATTTATAGGCTTTAATTTACTGTGCAGTAAATTTAAGCCAGTGTAAATGCACGTGTAGACACACCCAGTGAGTTGAAAGCTGTGCCTGGCTAGAGGTGAGGGGTACATATACTAATTATTCTGAAGACTGTTATTCAAGTATAGATAGCTTTGAGCAAGTTATTGTGTGTTTTGTGGAATTTATTCTTGCTTCCTGTTTATTTCAAGTACTGTAAAAAGGATCTAGGGCCATAGCTGCTTTTCAGCAATGAGAAATTAACACACATTAATGCTATATATTCCATCACATAGCCAGGGGCTGCAAGGTGGTAAGCTAATTTTACTCAGCAAGAATTTTTCCAGTTCCCTGACTTGAGTATTTAAAAGATCTAACCTTGATGCTTTATAAACATGAGACTGTACATACTGTGTGATGATCTGAGCATAAATGTATTGCATCACAGGTACGCAGCCATGCATGCCGCACCCTTTTTAATTTAAAAGGTCTTTATCCAGCATTATTAAACCATGTACTACTGGTGCAAAACAGAGTCCACAAGCACCATCAGCACCTCACAGAACAAATCAATATTGTTCTTATAAACTGTTATGGCCTGGAGACATAGGTTGGAAAATTCAAAGATGTTCCCGCTCTGCCTGCCCTAGATTTCAAGACTCTAGGAGAGTAGAAAAAGAATTGGTTTGTTCTTCCCCATCTTAAGCACCTGCCTTACAGGAGACTGGTGCCAGCCACAATGCTATTTGTAGGACAGTGTTGGTATGACACAGGGTTTTTTTGGAGGGGAGATCTGTAATCACCCTTTCTTCAATATCAGGAGGACACAAGTAAATTAAAGATAAAGCCCACATTTTTCTAACCTGCGTGGGTTCTTTTTTCAAAATTCAGCAACATTTCAGTGAAGGTAGTATCTACATGGGGATGATTATGAAAGTTAAGCTGAACTAAATTAAAAAACCTAAATGTAAAGCATATTAGTTTACTTTGAAAGAAAATTAAGCTATGGCAAACTATGGCCACTTTACCTCAGAATGAGAACATCCTCTTAGGCATCCCTACTTTTAAATTAACATATTTTGAAATCACACTTTTGATTAGGTTGTCTTAATTTCCCATTCAGGCAAGCTCTAATGACAGAATGACTGAAGGGAGCCCATTGAGACCAAATCCACAGGGAAAAGTTTTGTGGGTACAGCTAGGTCAGCTATGCCTACAACAGCCCTAAGTTAGATAGAGATATACAGGCAGAGGCCTGCATACCAGGACATCTTATTTCTTTTGGGGAAATGAGAAAAGCTACCCTGACAAAAGTGCTCTCTTACTGGTATAATCTGTACCTCTATTTGGAGGGTTTACCTGTACAGTTACAATGGCAGAACTCTTCTGCTGTAAAACTTGGGCTTATTAAACTTTGGAAATAAGTGAGATGATGGATAGATACAACCGCAAGCATACAGCAAGGGAAATGAGCCATAAAGAGGCACTTTAAGGCTAAATTCTAGTTATCAAAATAAAGGCTTTAGTCTTCAGATCTACTATAGAACATTGAGAAGACCATCAAGAAGCCTTTGGAGTGAGAGACCTCACTGCAGCTGTTGGCTACTCTGGTCTTTGCTGAGAGATAGAAGCAGTTCAGCCTCAGGGTGTGCAGCTGAGCAAAGTTCTACTGGAGATTCAGAGATGGCAACTAGATGGCTCAAACCCCAGGAGGAGAGAAAAGCCCTTTTGCCATCAGAATCAGGTATGTAATATTTCTGCCACAGGAATATTTAATGCTCCAGAATGTTCAAAGTCATCTACAAAGACTCTCTTGCTGAATTCCCCCAAAATTAAATGAAAACCGTGTGTTCAAATCCCTATGAAAATCTCAGCTTCTGTTTCTTTTCAGCCTGGCAGTCAGGCTTTAGAAGACACTAAAAACTGATGTTCTAGTTGGAGGTTTTGATGGCACTGTTTGGGTTGAAGGATGAAAATACTTTTTCACCCAATTCTGACTCTTCAGGAAGCAACACACTTGCATTTTTGTGGCACCCATTTAACCTACACCCTGAAGCATATGTGCCTCCCGAGACTGGGGGGGGGGGCACCAGATTGCCGACCAGGGGGTGGGGGTAGGAGGGTTCCCACAGTCAATTGTAGAGCGTGGAACCACCAGCGGCGAAACTGGCAAAACCACAAGTGCACTTCCACCGGCACTTCCGGTTTCGCGGCTGGCGCTTCCAGGGCATGCATGGCCAATTTCAGGG